GCAACCTCCGCCTCCCGTGTCCAAGTGATTCTCCTGCCTCAGCCTCCCGAGTAGCTGGGATTACAGGCATGCGCCACCACGCCTGGCTGATTTTGTATTTTTAGTAGAGACGGCGTTTCTCCATTTTGGTCAGGCTGGTCTTGAACCCCTGACCTCAGGTGATCTACCAGCCTTAGCCCCCCAAAGTGCTGGGATTACAGGCGTAGCCACTGTGCCCGGCCCAAAGATATATTTTACAGAGAAAGACATTGGTGTACAAAGTCTAAACTCTAGGTGGCTTGTTAGCAGTTGACAGCTGTGAAGCAGGTCTCCTTCATCCGGAATCAAGGTGAAATGTTCATAGCATTTAGTTGTGTTTTGGCATACCTTCTTCACCTTGTTTTATTCCTGTCATTATCCAGAGCAACACTTATGACCTTAATGCCTCTGAGACACCTCAACAGAGAAGTACGCACTTCAAACATAGTACTTGAGGTTTAAAGCATGAATTTATTGCTCTCCACATCCTTGATAAATAATTAATATGGAAAATTTTGTCTAGAGGTACTACATTTTAATATAACTCTAAAACTATAGGTTAAATAATCTAATAAAAAGCCATACACCTCAGAATCTATATTAAAACACAGCTTCACTTAAAAGAGACTATTTGCCAAGTTTGTTCCTAAAACATTCCTAATATCCAGGAAATTACTCAGATGCTGCAAAAAGTTTTACTGAAAAACAAAACCATCAACCAACCATATCTTTAGAATCTACTTCCACTAGATGGTGTAATTTCATCTTTTTAATTCAATTCCATTCAGAGTTTAACTCCGTGAACTATATCCTAACAGAAATCTAGTAAGTCCAGCAATGGTCTTTTAGTTAGTTCTAAGGTATAAAATGCACCTATTCCAGTTTTTATTCAAAATGTTCACAATTTACATTAGAACTTTAGCAGTTCAATAAGAATGTATACAGAAAAGACTGTGGTATAATTTTATCTCAAAGAGCTAGAAAAGGAACAGTAGAGGATTAGGACACTAGGAATATTCACAGAACACGAAGGTTGGAAAGAGTGAGAGAGTGAGGGAGTGAGATTTGCTATCCATGATGACTAGTAACAATAGTATACAAGCCTGGGAAAATAATTTAACCTATATGAGCTCCACACTTCTCATATGAAAAATGAGGTTTAAATTACATTAATCTCAAAGTTTTCTTCCACCTCTAAAAATAAGCAGCTTAATTAATGTGCCTTCCTATTGAATGGTAAACAACTACTAACATTTATGGCATACATTCTATGTGCCAGGAACTGTTCTAAGTGCTTTACATATATTAATTTTTTTTTATTCTTCACAATTCTGTGAAGTTAAGTGCTGTTACTATATCCATTTCATAGATGAGGAAAATGAGGCATAAAAGAGTTAAACAACTTTCCCAGTAGGTCAGAAATTAAAGCCAACGATTAAATCAAGGGAATTTTGGCTTAGAATACTCTTAAATACTCTATTAAAATCCAAATGTATAGTTTTTCTATGCATACACTATGCCTGGTGGAAGATAAGATCTGATTAATACATTGATTAATTTTCTGTTCATTTTCATAGATGTGTACATTCTTAACTAAGATGGAACTATTCTCACCGATTGATTCCTATAAAAGAATGTAGGGGGCTGGGTGTGGTGGCTCAGGCCTGTAATCCCAGCACTTTGGGAGGCCAAGGCGGGTGGATCACGAGGTCAGGAGATCGAGACCGTCCTGGCCAACATGGTGAAACTCTGTCTCTATGAAAAATACAAAAAAATCAGCCAGGTGTGGTGGCACGCACCTGTAGTCCCAGCTACTCGGGAGGCTGAGGCAGGAGAATCACTTGAACCTGGGAGGCGGAGGTTGCAGTGAGCCAAGATCGCGCCACTGCACTCCAGCCTGGACGACAGAGCAAGACTCCATCTCAGAAAAAAAAAAAAAAAAAAAGAATGTAGGGACCCAGGATCACGCGTTTGGTTCTATTATTTGAAACAAAAGACAACTGAAGGCCTACCCACATAAAATGACTCACTCAAGGTCACAAAAGTGGGTTGAGTAGCAGAACTAAGATAAAAACCTCACTCTTGCTGGGTGCAGTGGCTCACACCTGTAATCCCAGCACCTAGGGAGACCAAGGTGGGTGGATCACTTGAGGTCAGGAGTTTAAGACCAGCCTGGCCAACATGGTGAAACCTAAAAATCTACTCTACCCTACTAAAAATACAAAAAATTAGCCAGGTGTGGTGGCACATGCCTTTAATTCCAGCTACTCGGGAGGCTGGGGCAGAAGAATTGCTTAAACCCGGGAGGGGGAGGTTGCAATGAGACGAGATTGAGCCAGTGCACTCCAGTGTGGGTGACAGAGCAAGAGTCCGTTTCAAAAACAAAACAAAACAAAAAAATACCTCAATCTCTAATCTCCTGATCCAGGGTTTTCTTTTACCATGCTCCCTCACCAGAATAAGAAATATAATCTAGCCCAAACCCACAAAAAACAGAAAAAACAAACAAACAAAAAAACTCAAAACACTTGTTTGCTTTTTAGAGATTTGTATGGTTCTTTAAATATGGCATTAATTTGAAGAAGTATCTGCTCTACACCAAGAAATTATTCTGTGAATCAAGCAGCACAGCACAGTGGTTACACAAAGCAGAAAATCTGACGTCTGGCCGTCCAGGTTCAAATCCCAGCTCTACCATATACTTGATGTGTGATATTGTATAAATTATTAAATCTTCCTGCCTCTCAGTTACTCTATCTGTAAAAATAGGGATAAAATATGCACCTTGTAAGATTGTTGTGATAATTAAATAATATAGGTAAAGTGCTAGAATGAAGCTTGGCATATAATAAGTGCTATATAATTACTTGCTATTAATATTATTAAGCAATCAAAATATCTCCCAGTTTAATTTTATTTAAAAGTCATCTATGGGCCAGGCGCCATGGCTCATGCCTATAATCCCAACACTTTGGGAGGCTGAGGTGGGCAGATTGCCTGAGCTCAGGAGTTTGAGACCACCCTGGGCAACACGGTAAAACCCCATCTCTACTAAAATACAAAAAATTAGCCAGGCATAGTGGTGGATACCTGTAGTCTCAGCCACTCAGGAAGGAGGCAGGAGAATCGCTTGGGCCCAGGAGGCAGAGGTTGTAGTGAGCTGAGATCGTACCATTGCACTCCAGCTTGGGCTACAGAATGTGACTCCATCTCAAAAATAAAATAGAATAAAATAAAACAAAACAAAACAAAACAAAAGCCATCTATGGATAAAGAATTGTTCTGGGGCTTGGCGTCGCGGCTCACACCTATAATCCCAGTGCTTTGGGAGGTTGAAGCAGGACAAAGACTTGAGCCCAGGAGTTTGAGGCTGTAGTGAGTTCTGATCATGCCACTGCACTTCAGCCTGAGAGACAGAGTCAGACCCTGTCTCTCAAAAAATTTAAAAACAAATTTAAAAAAACTGTTTTGGAACCTCCTCATACTTGAAGAAAAAAATTCTTCTCGTACAAAGGCTTTTCTCTAGATTTAATCTTGACTCTTTTATCTTTCTTCATAAGATCTACTTTTAATCTTTTGTTCTTTTTTGAAAAGACAGTATTTCTTTTGTATTTGTATCCAGCCAATATTTTTTTATCCTATATTTGTGAACTGGCAAAATAAAATATAAGTTGTTTAATTCTGAGCTTCTTTTCTTGAGACAGGGTCTTGCTCTGCTGCCTAGGATGGAGTACAGTGGTGCCATCAAAGTTCACTGCAGCCTCAACCCCCTGGGCTCAAGCAATCCTCTCACCTGAGACTTCCAAGTAGCTGGGACGACAGATGCACACCATCACACCTGGTTAATTACAAAACTTTTTTTTTGTAGAGACGGGGTCTCACTTTATTGCCCAGGTTGGTCTCAAACTCTTGGCCTCAAACAATTCTTATGCCTAGGCCTCCCAAAGTCCTGGGATTACAGGCATTAACCACCATGTCTGGCCCTAATTCTGCTTTTAAGAACTTTTAAAAGTTTAAAAGAAATTCTGCTTATAAGAATTCTCAAGATTTACTTTTACCTGTAGATACTGAGAAAGCTGGAATAGTTCCTGAGAGTACATACTTGGAGTGTTAGCAGCAACCTAGAAACAAATGATACAATATCAACAGAAAACACTTCATAAAAAACATTAAACCAATTCCTTGAAATGTCTACTTACTTAAATATGCAAAATAACTGTTATTAAAATCACAAATTTATAGCACAAAGGCAATATAGCCTTTTAAGTTTTTTCTTTTCTGATGGAAATAAAGCCTTTTCTTAATCCAGAAATAAAACCTCCTAAATCAATAGATCCACATATTTTCCCTTTAAAATTCATCATTAAATAGTTCTTTACTATTTTAACAAGCCTCATTCATTTAGAAGTAGCCATCTTCAAAATGGTATTTTTATGTGGTATAGGGAGGGCAGGGACATGAAATACAACACTTTGTCCAGTGGCCTGAGGCAATGTTTCTTTAAATCCATAGGTAAGTTTTAAGAAAAAAGATGGGAAGTAATGGTGTTTAAACACTGTAAGTCATAGTCAAACTATTTAGAACTCAAGAGTATTATAAGGAATATCTTCTATAAGGGTTTTTTCAAGGTTGTGGAATATAGAACCATGGCATTATTTAAAAAGAAAAAAAAGAGGAAGGGTGGGGTGCAGTGGCTCATGCCTATAATCCCAGCACTTTGGAAGGCCGAGGGAGGTGGATCACCTGAGGCCACGAGTTCGAGAGACCAGCCTGGTCAACATGGTGAAACCACGTCTCTACTAAAAATACAAAAAATAGCCGTGTCACACTACTGCACTTCAGCTTGGATGACAGAGCAAGACTCCATCTCAAAAAAATAAATAAATAAATAAGAAGAAGAAGGGCTGGGCGCGGTGGCTCACGCCTGTAATCCCAGCACTTTGGGAAGCCGAGGCGGCCAGATCACCTGAGGTTGGGAGTCCAAGACCAGCCTGACCGACATGGAGAAACCCTGTCTCTACTAAAAACGTAAAATTAGCAGGGCGTGGTGGCGCATGCCTGTAATACCAGCTACTCGGGAGGCTGGGGCAGAAGAATCGCTCGAACCTGGAAGGTGGAGGTTGCGGTAAGCTGAGATTGCAACACTGCACTCTAGCCTGGGCAACATGAGTTAAACTGTCTCAAAAAAAAAAGGAGTAGGAGGAGGAGGAAAGAAGAAGAAGGAAGGAAGAGGAAAAAGAAGGAAGGAAGGAGGAGGAGGAAGAAAAGGAAGAGGAAGAAGAAAAAGAAGAAGAGGAGGAGGAAGGAGAAGAGGGAGCAGAAGGAGGAGGAAGAAAAAGGAGGAGGAGGTGGGAGGAAAAAGAGGAAGAAGGAAGGAAGAAGAAGAAGGAAGAAGAAGAGAGAAGAAGGAATAAGTAGGAGGAGGGAGGAAGAAGAAAAAAACAAAGAAGAAAGAAGGAAGAAGAAGGATAAAAAAGAAAAGAAGGAACAAGAAAGAAGGAAGAAGGAAGAAAGAAGAATAAGGAAAAAGAAATAAGGAAGAAAGAAGGAGGAAGAAAAGAAAGAAAAAGGAAGAAATAGGAGGAGGAGAAGAGGGAGAAAAACAACAAGAAGGAAGAAAAGGAGGAGGAAAGAAGAAAGAAAAGAAGAAGAGGAGGAGGAGCAAGAGGAGGAGAAGAAGGAGGAAGAAAGACTACTGGGTTGCTGTAATATTTACCCCTATGTGTTAGCTTATTAATGATGTTATAGCACCAGTCCTTATTAAGCTTGGGAAGTATACTTTAATTAATATGCTGACTAGAAAGCAGAGAGTTGGCATTATTTCTTAAATTTACTTCTAAATTAGCAGTACCATTATTTACTTCTGAATAATTCTCGGTATTGCAGAAGTTGATGATTAACCACTTTTACTTCTAAAAAAGGAATCTAACAGAGAACTTCGGTTTCAAGCAGGCTTTCACTCTTCATTCAAATGGAGGAAAAATGTAAAATATTTTTTCCACTAGTTTAGTTATTGCATTAAGAAAACTAGACTCCCACATTAATGTCAAAAGATGTATTTTGGGGGGCTAATTAGCAATGATACCTATAATTGAATAAACCATTATTTCTGAACAAAAGAAAAATGCTTTCTAGCAAGCAATTACTGCAAAGTTTCTGATCAGATCAGGTAAAAAGTAACCCTTAAAGACAACAAAAGAACAATTTTTGTAAGCCTGTATTTCTGTATTACCTCCCTGTATTGGTAAATGTTGAGTGAACTATTTAGGTAGAAACTTTAACATATTTCTAGACAGAATTGTATCTCAGAATAAAAAGTAACAGCGAATACTCCTCATCCCTGGCTAGACACAAAACAGGTACTCCTCGTTTACACAGTGAATAATTTAACTGAGATAACAAAGCCTTTTTCTGAAGAAACATCCATCTTAGATTCTCCAGCTATTGAAGATCAGAAGATTATAATAACTATATAGCTATATGCATTCTACATATTTTGTTACAAAAGAGAAATAAATTTCTAGGTAAAGCATATTAAAAACAAACATTTTCAAAGCAACACAGCTGAGTCAGTTTGGAAAAAATAATCATTAGCAACTTACTTTGTCAACAGGACTTGGTAATGGTGCATGGATGACACTGAAAAGTAAAATTTAGAAGTTTTATCTAATATCCGGACAATAGAGGAAATAGAGTATGAGAGCACCAGAATATCTTATACCACAAAGTTTATACATTTGCCTTCATGTAATTAAAAAAAAGTGAACTATTTTTCAATTCTTTATAAATGTATAAAATACTTAGAAAACAAAAACATGTAAACCTACCTTGTACATATCAATATATTTCTAAAAACAAATTCCAAATCCAAAATGTATTAAATGCTCTTTGAGGGATATGAATTACTTGATTATAAGAATTTCTATACAGAAAAGGAGTACTCTATCCTTTTTCGGCTAGGTGTGGTGGCTCGTGCCTGTAATCCCAGCACTTTGGGAGGCTGAGGCAGGAGGATCACCTGAGGTCAGGAGTTCAAGACCAGCCTGGCCAACATGATGAAACCCTGTCTCTACTAAAAATATAAAAAAATTAGCTGGGTGTGGTGGCGCACACCTTTAGTCCCAGCTCCTCGGGAGACTGAAGCATAAGAATCGCTTGAACCCAGGAGGTGGAGGTTGCAGTGAGCCAAGATTGTGCCACTGCGCTCCAGCCTGGGTGACCAAGTGAGACTCTGTTTCAAAAAACAAAAAAAAATATTCTCCCATTTTCAATTTTGAAATATATAAATTATGTTCTTTTAAAATTAAACATTCCTATACAGAAAGTCTTAAGAAGCAAAGTTCTGGAAAGCAAGGTTATAATTTGGAAACTTGTTCCAGTGAAGAACAACTTTAATCAAAACACTACTATTCCTCTTCTCTACCCAGCCACCTCAGAAACTGACTGAAAACTTAGATGTATATATGAAACTGAACTCAGTGTAACACTTTAAAACAAAACATTAAATAGATGGCACTAATTGATACTAGTTGCCTTGTTGGCCTGATAACTACTGCTGACAAAAAGGTAGTATAGCAGCTCAGAAACTATACTGCGTCCAAAATCTAGCTCTACCCACCAGCTGAAAGGCAAATTGCCTAATCAATATAGGTCTCAGCTTCCTCATGCATAAAATGAGATAATGAAGTCAGGTGCAGTGGCTCACACCTGTAATCCCAGCACTTTGGGAGGCCAAGGTGGGCGGATCACGACGTCAGGAGTTCGAGACCAGCCTGGCCAACACAGTGAAACGTCATCTCTACTAAAAATACAAAAATCAGCCAGGTGTGGTGACACGTGCCTGTAGTCCCAGCTACTTGGGAAGCTGAGGTGGGAGAATCGCTTGAACCCTGGAGGCGGGGTTGCAGTGAGCCGAGGTCATGCCATTGCACTCCAGCCTGAGCAATAGAGCAAGACTCCATCTCAAAAAAAAAAAAAAAAAGGGAGCTAATCATATAACCAATTCCATGGAGTTATTGGGGGTATTAAATATATTAATATGAATAAAGAGCTTAAAACAGTACTTTGGAAATAGGACTTTATCGCTACTATTACTCTCATGAGAATATAGCAGCTAAGGAAGCTAGAGTCCCTATTTTATTTACAAGGCCCTGTAAGTTACTGCTAGGTGTGTTGGCGGTGAGTACAGGGGACTCAAAGCAAGGCTACCATGCATGACCTCTACCAGCTGCTAATCACTCCACATCCTAGACGCCATTCTTGTAATGGCTAGCTTGGAGGTTGATTGGGTAAAGTTCTTAGACTGAACTGACAAATCATATGTAAGCTGCTGAAAAACTGATCAGATGTCAGTTAAAAATAGGAATAATTTTGATCCCACCTTAATAATTGCAAACACTGTAAGAACCGGTCTAATTCAACTAGTCACAAAAACACTAAAATGCTGAATAAAATGGAATATTAAGGACCAGCACCCACCTCCCTGCTGAGCACCCATGATACAGACTTCATTGAGCCTACATAAACTTTACTGTCCTTCTTTGATTATACATCTGTGTTCTCAGGAACTATGACCTATTCACCTGTATATCCCCAAAGCCCATCACCACCAGGCCCTAACAAAGTTGGTGCCTAGTAAAGATTTTTTTAAAATTATGTACAACTTTACTCCAGAAAATTGAAATAGGCATTTTAAACAATAATTTATTTTTCTTGAATATAAAAAATATTGATTATGGAAAATTTATGAAGTAAATCATGAGGAAATAAATAAAAATTACTGAATGCCAACACTCAGAGAGAACCATTGTGGGTATATATCTTTTTCTCTGCAGATATGCACATATAGTGAAATGAACTTAAGAATGTCTAAATGCCAGATCATTTGAGGTTAGGAGTTTGAGACCAGCCTGGCCAACATGGTGAAACCTATTTCTACTAAAAATACAAAAACTAGCCAGGCGTGGTGGTGGGCGCCTGTAATCCCAGCTACTTGGGAGGCTGAGGCAGGAGAATCACTCGAACCTGGGAGGCGGAGGTTGCAGTGAGCCGAGATCACACCACTGCACTCCAGTCTGGGCAACTGAGCAAGACTCCATCTCCCAAAAAAAAAAAAAAGTCTAAATAGAAACAAATGGTACAGTAGGGATTTTTTTTTAGTTCCCCTTTCTTAGTGACCCAAGTATAAAATCTTCTGCTCTTATAACAATCTCATTAATAAACAAAGGGCTAAAAATCCGGCAACACATTCCATAAGTGATATACATTTGTATTTTACAAAAACTATCCTGTATATAAGTATATTCTGAAGTATGAATAAAGTTCATGTGCATATACAAACCTTAACAACGAAATGTGGAAAATGAAAATAGTTACTTAGTGTTAGAGTGGTGGGATTATACGCAATTTCTGTTTCTTTTGTTAAAAATTTAAAAAATTTTTTTATTTTGGAGACAGAGTCTCACTCTGTCACCCAGCCTGGAGTGAAGTGGTCTGATTTCGGCTCACTGCACTCTGCCTCCTGGGTTCAAGCTGTTCTCGTATCTCAGCCTCCTGAGTAGCTGGGACTACAGGCGCTCACCACCGTGCCTGGCTAATTTTTTGTATTTTTAGTAGAGACGCGGTTTCACCCTGTTGCCCAGGCTGGTCTCAAACTCCTGAGCTCAGGCAATCTGTCCGCCTCAGAGTTCCAAAGTGCTGGGATTACAGGCACGAGCCACCTGCCCCAGGCCTCTCTGTTTCTAATCATTAGAAAATGATTGGCCCAGGCACAGTGGCTCATGCTTGTAATCCTACTAGCACTTTGGGAGGCTGAGGGGAGTAGATCACCTGAGGCCGGGAGTTTGAGGCCAGCCTGGCCAACATAGAGAAACCCCGTCTCTACTGAAAATACAAAAATTAGCCAGACATGGTGGTGTGCACCTGTAATCCCAGCTACTCGGGAGGCTGAGGTAGGAGAATCACTTAAACCTGGGAGGTGGAGGATGCAATGAGCTGAAATCATCCCACTGCACTCCAGCCTGGTTGACAAAAGCAAGATTCTGTCGGGAGGGGAGGGGAGGGGAGGGGAGAGGAGATTATTGGCCAGGCCTCTCTGTTTCTTATCATTAGAAAATTATTGACCAGGTTTCTCTGTTTCTTATCATTTAAAAATTGTTGGCCAGGTGTGGTGGCTCAGGCCTGTAATCCTAGCACTCTGGGAGCAGAGGTGGGTGGACTGCCTGTGCTTGGAGTTCAAGAGCAACCTGGGCAACATGGTAAAACCCTGTCTCTACTAAAAGGAGAATTGCTTGTTCAAAATTCATCTTCTCCAGAAAGTTAGATTATGTACAACTAAATTGGCAGCAAAAATTTAAGTGATACTAATATTTAACCATATAAGAAAAGCCAAACAATGAGAAGGAAATGGGCAAAGATGAAAATAATTACAGAAACACAAAGGACAGAGACACAATACATTGCAAGTGACTTTGAAAAAATTCACAAGTTTTACTAGATGGAATCTGAAAACACACATGATTCCTTATGTAACTGTTAAAAGTTTTCAAACTGCATGAAAGAAAAATCTCATTATCAAATACAAACATCAAGGTCTTTAAGAAGCAATATATCATTAGTTGATTAATAGTTACTCATTTCTAAAACCTTAATTCTTGACTCTTAAAAGCTAAATTATATTAAACTTCCTAAAGTTTATTTTAATTTTATTAATTAAGCTGTAATTGCAAATAGAAAACAGATTGTTTTAAATTTACAGTATTACTTCATATGCCAAGGACTAAAAAAAGGAAAAAGAAAAATGAATTAAAATGTTTTAAAACCTATGCCATTTTGCTTCAGATATCTTGAAAAGTAAACAAACAAAAGTAAGTAGCTTCTAACAAGCATAAAATAAATGATTCTACTGAAAGCACAGACCAATACAGTAATGGGTGGGCCTCGCTCTGCTTAATCTTTCCTTCCCACTTTCCTATTCAATGCTTTACTTCTCCTTCAATTTATTGCTTTCTCTTAACCTCCTACCCTCAGATCACTGTCTCTGTTTTTGAAAGACAGGAAAATATTATGTTGGGTATAAAAACAAGCTTCTAGCACATTCAAGGCTTTCCCCACAAATAAAAAATGTTAAGTTTAAAGATTGCTTAACTCCCTTCAACACTTCATCATCATAATCTCCGAAAAGCCCAAGATCAAAATGTACTTACGTATGCTGCTTTTAAAATCTAGATTTTATAGGTAATTTTCCCCTTTCAAATGTCTGCCTCTAAACGACCTTTACACTCCTTCATACAGAAAGTAAACAGGACATTGGAAAAATCTTCAAAAACCTCCCACCAAAATAAGCTACCAACTATATTGATATCCTCAAGGTCTTACAAGATTGTGACACTGGCATTAATACCAGAAGTGATCACAGTTTAAGAAGTCCTATATTAAGTGAAAATAAAAAGGAATGAAGCTATCACTTACCAATAACTTACATATTTGAAACATTGTGAAAAACAACTAATTATCCATCAAAATATAAATTAAATTTGGAAACAAAATAATCTTTGCCTCTAATACATTATTATTTACTAGAATTGCAACTAAAGCAAAAAAGCAATTTAAACTTAAGTGTATTATATTCCAAAAAGTACTAATCAATTTTCTAACATTATGTAAATAGTCCTAAAGCAGGTATTAGCAGTATACTGTCATCTAGAATATTAGTACTAAATTCTTTACAGTACTAAACTTCACAAAAACTTCACAGTACTAAATTATACTCACTCTGAGCGGAGCCGGGCTTCCATACCATCTGGTAGAAAAAGTTTTATTGTGGAAACAATACACCCATGGGTAACTGGTTGAAACAAACAAATAATATGGATGAAATAATTGTTTAAAAATATAAAACTTCACACCTCTCATATCTAAACACAGTTTATTCTTAAAAGTAACAATTTCTCAAAAAGAAAATAAAGCTAGTGGTTTAACGACAGTATTATTACCCTGGAGAAACTCATCTTGTCCATAATGAATCACAATTGCAAGGCAGAAATAAGGACAGAATTATTTTGAAAAGTGTCTTCATCTCCAATTCTATAATAACAGTCAATAAAAGGTCAGTTGAATATATGGAAACAACATTGTGAGGGGGAAATACACTTTTCCCCATCTGTCAGTATCAAACATAAGTCTGACTATTCCCAAATTTAAAATATAGCTCTTATTCCAAATCTTCCTTTCCCCAACCTATTTCCCACACCTCACAAAACTCTAAAGTTCTGCATAATACAGTTGAGAATATGCCACTCAATCCCCCATTTTATGGGTGAGAAAACCAAGACCTCAGACAAGTGAAACTGCCTCCACAATTCTCTGCTATTAAGTATCAGAATTGTTTGCTAGTGTCTCGTGTTTCTATTTCAATATTTAAAATTTTTGTTTTGTTTTCTTGAGAGTTGTTTCTTCCTCTACTCCCAAAATGACATCAATATAGTCCCTTTGTAGACAGCTTCTTACTGCTGCATCTTACTTCCTCTTTTTCCTACTGAAGATTTTAAGAGACAAAACTACCTACCGCAAGTAGCACTTGCACAGTTTCCCTATATGTGGGTTTAATTTTAAAAAATTGTTTTCTGGTTTGAAAGTTGATGGTTTTTTCTTTCTCTTTTCTCTATTCTTCAAATACTGTATTGCATTTTCCAGAGTTCAAATAATTATTTCACTAAGCTCTGATTAAAAACTAATGCAGGCTGATGAAAATACACTACATCATGATTAGGGGAGTGGTGGTTATGAGACCATATACATTTGTCAAAACTCACTGAATTGTACATGTAAAATTGTGTTATATGTAAATTATATCTCAACAAAACTGAATTTTAAGAATAGAGCTAATGTTGGCCGGGCATGGTGGCTCACACCTGTAATCCCGATACTCTGGGAGGCCAATGTGGGTGGATCACCTGAGGTCAGGACTTTGAGACCAGCCTGGCCAACATGGTGAAACCTCTCTACTAAAAATACAAAAATTAGGCCGGGCTCGGTGGCTCATGCCTGTAATCCCAGCACTTTGGGAGGCCGAGGCAGGCGGATCACCTGAGGTCAGGAGTTTGAGACCAGATTGGCCAACATGGCAAAACCCCTCTACTAAAAATATAAAACTTAGGCCGGGCGCAGTGGCTTACACCTGTAATCCCAGCATTTTGGTAGGCTGAGGTGGGCAGATCACCTGAGGTCAGGAGTTCAAGACCAGCCTGGTCAACATGGCAAAACCTCTCTACTAAAAATACAAAAATTAGGCCAGGCATGGTGGCTTATGCCTGTAATCCTAGCACCTGGGGAGGCTGAGATGGGCAGCTCACCTGAGGTCAGGAGTTCAAGACCAGCCTGCTCAACATGATGAAACCCTGTCTCTACAAAAATACAAAAATTAGCCAGGCATGATGGTGGGTGCCTGTAATCCCAGCTACTCAGGAGGCTAAGGAAGGAGAATTGCTTGAGCCTGGGAGGCAGAGGTTGCAGTGAGCCAAGATCGCACCACTGCACTCCAGCCTGGGCAACAGAGCGAAACTCCATCCCAGAAAAAAAAAAAAAAAAATAGCCGGTGTGGTGGCAGGTGCCTGCAATCCCAGTGACTCGGGAGGCTGAGGCCAGCAGAACTGCTTGACCCTGGGAGGCGGAAGTTGCAGGGAGCCGAGATCATGCCACCGCACTCTAGCCTGGGTGACAGAGTGAGACTCTGTCTCAAAAAATAAAAATAAAAAAATAGAGCTAATGCATTTGGGGGTATTAAATGATCAGGCACACTAATCATCAGGATGATATTATAAACATGAAGTAATATGACTGTCATCTGGAAATGCACATTAAAATTAAGAAATTTAACACCATGTATTCAATGTTGATTTTCATTACTAATTGATTATATAAAAGTGCTAACACAGATCAAGAACCATCTATTGGCAGGTCACAGTGGCTCACACCCATAATCCCAGCGCTGTGGGAGGCTGAGGTGGGAGGATCACTTGAGTTCAGCTTGGGAAACATAGCGAGACCCAGTCTCTACAAAAAATTTAAAAATTAGCAGGGTGGGGGTGGTGCACACCTCTACCCAGCTACTTAGGAGGCTACGGTCGGGGGATTGCTTGAGCCCGGGAGTTAGAGGCTGCAGTGACCCATGATCACACCACTGCACTCCAGCTGGGTAAGACCCTGTCTCAAAAACAAAAACAAACAAACAACAATAAAAAACAGAACCATCTACTGGCAGTCTTCTAAACTCTGCCCAGCACAATAACCATGGCCATGAACCACTGGGCTCCTTCATTCCTGTCTGACCTCATCCTCTATCCTGCTACCACGTATATCCTATACAAAGCCAAGCTACCTGCAATCTCCAAGCACTTTACCTTTCACAGCCCCATGCCTTTTACACAGGCTGTCCCTTCTGTAAGCAATGTTTCTATCCTCTCGCCTGCATGACCATGTGCTACTTAGTCTCCAGGCTCAGATTTTCTAATTCCTTCACCAAAGCTCAGTATCCGAGTAAGATGTCCCCAGAGCCTCCTACATCTATTTCTTAAAACATTAAGCACATTACATTGTGAATATTTATCATTTACAGAAACTGCTGTCTCACCAATTAGATTCAACTCTTTGAGGGCATCAAGGATTATCTGCTTCTCAATTTAAAAACCTATGTACTTAGCAGAGTCATCTGGTACAGAAATCATTTTACTGAAGATGTTGAGGAACATGCCTGCTTAGCATTTCATAGCTCCCACTACTCCTGTGCAAAGATGTTTCTTACTTTTAAGACATTAGGGTTCATTTCTATTTGTAGGAACCACCTAGCTTTCTCCTTTCCCAGGCAAAAGACAGAAGAGACAGATTTTTTTTTTTTTTTGAGACAGAGTCTCTCTCTGTTGCCCGGGCTGGAGCACAATGGCACAATCTCGGCTCACTGTGCGCTCCGCCTCCTGGGCTCAAGCCATTCTCATGCCTCAGCCTCCCCAGTAGCTGGAACTACAGGCGCCCACCACCACGCCTGCCTAATTTTTTTTTTTTTTTTTTTTGTATTTTTAGTAGAGACGGGGTTTCATCGTGGTCTCGATCTCCTGACCTCGTGATCTGCCCGCCTCGGCCTCCCAAACTGCTGGGATTACAAGCGTGAGCCACCGTGCCCGGCCAAAGAGACAGATTTCTCTCATGATAAATGAATTTCTAGAGGATGGCTCCTTGAGAGATTCACTATAAATAGCCTACAATAAATACAGGAGCATGATACAACATGAAGATCCAGCAATACCTACACTTTAATTTGGTAATAAAGTTGTTTTTTAAAAAAGAAAAATAGGTGGAACAAGTTATAGAATAAAACTATAAATAAAACAGGTTGCCAGAGGTGACAACCTGTGATATACATCAGTAATTCTGTTGTTCAGACACATTACCCTGAAGTTCAGCAAATGAGCTGATGCACAAATCTATGAGATGAACCAAGGGCTAATACTGACTGGGCAGTACAGAGTTGCTGTACAGTTGTAGGCAGTTTAAAACACAAAAACAAAAACAACCCATGTCTGACTAAGTTGACGATCTAGTCCAGTCAACCATGCCTTTGGTGTGATTTTTATGACAACTAGATATACACAGGCATAGACATGTTATCCTTTTGATTCGCAACAGGCAAGTAATTAAAGCAACCTGATGAAAATGTTTTGTTCTAATACTTGTATTAATCAACTATACATAGCAGCATTTCCCAAAATGCTAGCAAGCGTTACAAAAAAGGATCTGAGGGTCTGATGACTTTGGGAAATGCTTGGTTTAAAAGAGATTTAGGGGCTGGGTGCGGTGGCTCACGCCTGTAATCCTAGCACTTTGGGAGGCCGAGGTGGCCAGATCACAAGGTCAGGAGATAGAGATCATCCTGGCTAACACGGTGAAACCCTGTCTCTACTAAAAATACAAAAAAATTAGCTGGGCATGGTGGTGGGCACCTGTAGTCCCGGCTACTTCGGAGGCTGAGGCAGGAGAATGGCATGAACCCAGGAGGCAGAGCTTGCGGTGAGCTGCACTCCAGCCTGGCAACAGAGCGAGACTCCATCTCAAAAAAAAAAAAAAAAAAAGATGGATGAAGATTCACAGGACATTTTAAAATTTATTCAACCAATATGTTCCAGGTTGTGTGTGGAGATTCTATAGTGAAGACAAACACACTTCCTACTCTTGCACAGCTTACAATTTAGTGAGGGTGGTAAACATATAAAAGGGATGAGTACAGGGGCATGGAGTGGGCACCTTGTCCAGCCCTGAGGATCAAGAAAGGTTTCTAGGCATAGGAAAAAGCATGTGCAAGGGCTTGAAGGCCAGGTCTATTAGGAGGAGTAAAAGTAATTCAGTGCAGTTGAAGCACAATGCCAAAGGAAGATACACCATTGACTTTGCTCTTAATAGGCCCTTTGTTCACAGGGGCTTAACTAAGAAAAAGATATTGGTGATGAAGACCTGAAGTAAAAAGCTGACTGAAGTTACATGTGTTCATAGAACTAAATGGCCCCAAGCTTTGCAACAGAGGGTTACTGTAATAATGTGTGACCCAGAAAACTCATTCTTTGAGCAGTTTGTGGGTCCAGGAAAAGAGGAGTGGCCAGTGGTTAGGTTGCTAAACCTCGGCTTTCTCACTTTCTTCCTTTCTTTTAAAAAATCTATTAGAATGTCAGCTCTTTGTTTACAATAATATTTTATCAGTATAGAGCAGCTTATGTGTACATGCCTGACCACCGAGTTTTCTCCTTGAAGCCATACACAAGGAATGCCAAACATCAAAATCAGATTGTTGGTGGGGTCCAG